TCTCTTTCCTTTTTTTTTTTTTTTTTTTTTTGTCAAACCAGCTCCAATCTATTCGCAGGGCCCAGCATGTGCAGTGATTCGGGCCCAGTGTCGCTTATCAAAGAACCATACACAGTAGTGCTGTATTTGAGAAAGGAAGAGTTGCAGCGGTGATTGTTGATTGTCGTAGACCTCTGCCTTTGGAGATCGACTGTCGCCGCTTATTAGGTATTAACTACTATTAAGCAGAATGTGAGCAAAAGAGTGGACCAGGTGTGGCGTACATCGTCGTAGGCCAATACCTCTCAAGTAGGAGTCAGATAAGATGTGGGCTTGATCTGTGTGATAGTGTGACAGCCTGCTTTTCCTAAAATAGAGTAGAAACGTGTCTACTCGATTTCCAATACTTAGGAGAGTGACGGCCGCCAGTTAAAACACCGGTACTTGGCCCAGCCATTCAGCCGCGGAAAAATATAGAGTACAAACGTTTCTAGTCCGATGAATTTGGTCGCTCCTGTAGTGACCCGTACATTTCCTAAAATTGTGGCATGTTAACGGGCGCGACTTTAGCTAGTACTGATAGTTTTAGTGCAGGTTCAAGCTCATCCTCATCATGATGCCCTCTTCGAATGACTTTGGTCGCTCATGTAGTGACCTGTACGTTTCCTGAAATTGTGGCTTGTTAACGGCCAGAAGGTAGGCGCCAAATTTCTGACTGCTACTAGGGTGGCTATAACCCGACCAGAAGAGAGTTCTACGAGCGAATTGGAAGAGGAGGGGGGCGGAGGAGCGGGGGAGGAGGGAGGTGACGGATCCAAGAAATCCTTCTCCCCCCCCCCCCCCCCGGCCATTGGAAACTTCAAGTTTGAAATTAATTAACATTTGACCGATCATGAAAGCAGAGATGCGTCCCTTTGAAAATTGCCACATGATCCCCTGTTAAACCACTGTAGTACTTGCTAAAGCCGTGCCCGTTAACAAACGACAATTTTAGGAAATGCACGGGCCACTACAGGAGCGCCCAAATTCAGCGAAATAGAAATGTTTCCACACTTTTTTTTTCTCTTGCAGCCGGTAGATGGGGCAAGCACTGGTGGTTTAAAGTTTAAACCCACCAGTATGTTTCCCAGCCATGTTTGCAAAATTGTGGCTTGCAAGCCGCTGCAATTTTCAGGCGGTGAATTAGGCGCGAAGCGTCAGCCTCCCGGGCGAACTGGCTGCCCTCACCCGCCAAAAAAAAGGAGGCCAACGCCGGGCGAATTGTGGCCTGCAAGCCGCTGCAATTTTCAGGGTCAGCCTCCCTGTGCACTTTTCGGATATGATTTTTCTTTAGATGGCAGGTCCTTCCAGAGGGAGAGAATATGCACAACGCCCGGAAATAGGCTTTATACATGGCAAGTGTGTTGTTTATTGCCTCGACACTCTTTCAAAGGTGCTCGTAAGTACAGAACAGCAGACTAATATACCTAACCTCACACAACGCTGGCAGGATCTTGTGAACTCTGGATGAACTTCAAGTTTACCTGGCTATACACTGACGCATCACTAGTTTTAGTAAGGAAAGTGAGCTTAACGAATAATTTTTTTTCGGAACGAAGATGGAGACTAAAGTTACCTGTTCGAAGGGATGGGGCTAAACGGAAATCCTGGGACTGTTAATCCTAGTGGTGGGAGTAACGGAATGAGCAATTTTGGGGCCAAGGACTGCCGTGCTTTTACACCGTTCTGGAAAAAGTCACAGAATGAAGTGGAAAACGGTTAAACGTCTGTAGTATACGCAGGTCTTCTAATTTTTTTTTTTAAGTTTTCAAAAAAAAAAAAAAACATTTTTCTAGTAAAAAAAAAAGAAAAAAAGAGATGGTATGGAAAACGGTAAGGATGAAAATGGATCCCAAAGATTGAGGAAGTCCAGGAACAGTGGCTCAAAGATAATGTAACAGTGGTGGGGGCGCTTTCTAAATAAATTAAAAAAAAAAACAAAAAAAAAACAAAAACGAAACAAAAAAGAAAAAACACTCAATTGACATGGCCAGTTTGGATGTACAGTGGCTTTATGCAGGGTAGAAGCACCTTGAATAACATAATGTTGATAGTTTAGGCATTTAAGGCCATGAATGATGACCAGCCAGGCACGGCAGCCTTCTTGTTGGATCTAGAGAACCCTACGATCGTATCAACTGGAATTTTGTAATGGACATTTTGGAAACAAGGGCAAAGTAATGGTTAAGTTAACGGAGAAATCTCTCAACCCTTTGATCTAACTAGATCCCTAAGGCAAGGTTGTCCTCTGACACCCCTCCTATTTGTTCTGCAGCAGTGGAGGTCCTTCTATCGTCAATCAGAAAAAAAAAAATGAGATAGAAGGATTAGTACTTGGTTCGGGGGAACAGTGTAAGGCATCCACAATGGCGGATGACCTGTTCGCACTATCTACTAATTCTGTTGAGTCGTTAGCTTCATTAAACCACCAGTACTTCCTGAATTCGCTCCGTGTATACGGCCAGCCAAAAGTGGAAACCGCGCCGTTTCCACTTGGCTGAATGGGGCCTACCGGCGCAGGCCCGTTCATTCCAAAGTTCGCTCCGCGTATATGGGAGCGTTTTCAGGAAGTACTGGTGGTTTAAAGCATATTGCATTGATGTCTACTCTCAATTCTCAGAGGCGTTGTTAAACTGGTCTAAAGACTCTAAATTGGTGGTGGTACTGAATAAGGACACTAATCTCAGTGTGAATTGGGGATTGAAACGATTGAAACGATTACCAGTGCATGAAAGTGAGAGGTTCCTTGGGATACAGGTGGGAATGAGAAACGTAAAAAATATATTTTTAGTACCATTATGGAGGGAAGAGTTTTGGCCAAGCTCGAAAGAGTGGCCAAGGTGTCGGGAGTCTCCATACATGGCAGGGCCTTAATTTTGAATACTTCTGTCTTCTCCAACTTGTGGTACGGCGGTGCAATCAGACCATTTGGAAAGGGGTCATACGGCCGCATAAAAAGGGCTGCAACCAGGTACCTGTGGAAGGGCCTACTTGATGAGTCTGTCAGTTACATAGCTAAAGTATCATGGAAGAAAGTGATAAGAATGAAAGACTATGGAGGGTTGGCCATTCTGGATCCAGAAGCGCAGATAAACGCACTGCTGGCCAAATGACCTATTAAACCACCAGTACTTGGCCCATACATCGGCCGCGGGCGTTTCTCGTTAACGCACTGCGACCGATGGGCTTCGGCCTACCGGACCGCAATGGCTAGAGGTGCCAGCCAAAAGAAAGTCAAAACGGCACGGGGGCGGCTCGACAAAACTTGGCACGCAGGGCATATTCAGGCTCCGGATCAATAGCTGGGCCAAGTACTGATGGTTAACCTTCTTTACGAATTGGCAGGGCATCCATGGGCAGACCTGGCCATTGAGAAATTTAGGAAAAAATGGGGACTGTCCATGATGGAGGATGTAGGGGTTGCTTTACTAACCAGGTGTTTTGTCAAGAAGAATGCAAGGTTAGGGTTGTGGACATATATCATAAAGGTATGGTGGTTGGTTTTGCTATCACAAAGTAAGAAACGAGTAACTGAGGATGAAATTATGAAGCAGCATCTTTTTGACAATATCTGGTTGAGGGATGAAGATGGTGACCCTTGGTCTGCAGAAGAGTCAGAGGGTGTCTTCGGGCAGAAATGGATACAGAGGGGCATCTCAACAACTAAGGACCTATGGAACACATATCTCAAGCAATGGAGAAGCCCAATGGAGCTAAAGAGCAAATTGAGCCACCTGCGTCAGGTGGAGGTTAGGGTCAAAACAATCATAGACAGTGTGTGAGAGGTCGGAATGGGATCGGGTGTTTGACGGGGGCCTACACAAGCGGTGGAACTAGCTGACTAACTAAGAATGGGTCCTCAAGTTGCAGTCCCCTCTGCAATCAATGGAAGGCAACTGGGTGCTCAAAGAGGGCTCTCAAGATCCCAAG